CCACATGGAAATCCCAGTCCAACAGGATAATAAAGGCTTCTTCATTACCTCCCTGTGAGTTGTGATTGTAAAACTACTGGAAATATTAGTGACAGGGAGAGACAGAGGGAGAGAGAGGAAGGGAGAGCATAAGACACAGAAAAAGCATGACAGAAGAGAGATTATTAATAGAAATTTCTTATAAATTTTCTACACAGAAATACAGTACAATTATTCTGAGCTTCATTGATCAAAATATAGCAAATACAAGAAATAAAAGTAATGATAAGGGATGTTAAAGTTACAACATTTTTATAGCAAACATTATATTCTTAGCAAAAAAATCTATCTTATTTTGTATTTTTATAATTCTGATTTTTTTCTGGAATAAAACAAAATGGTATCATAATTTTAAAATTGTTTACAGATTTTAAATTATGGTATTTATTGGCTATAGACTTGGTTTCATTTTACATTGAAAGTAATAGTTAGAAGTGAAATTTTAATCTCTAAATTGTAGGCCATAAATATTGTTTGGATATTTTAAAGAAAGAAAATGCAAATTCCTTTCTCTCCACCCCAAGTAGACCCTGAGTTGCCACCCATGAATGCCTCCAGCTCCTCAATGGCACACAAACCAATCTCAGAACCCAGGGGCTTCTCGCAGAAATGCTTCTGGATTGTGAATTAAGCTACGGCCCCATGCCACCTTGAGTGGGAAAGGGCATTGTCCCTTCCACCTTTTTCCCTTGGCAACATCGTGACTGCCATCTTTCATATCCTATTTGACAGAGAGGTATGTGACAAGACATGCGGAGCCAAACGGGACAGGGGGTGGAACCGGCCCTTTTCCCTACCCTATGAGACTCTGAGTTGAGCTAAACAATGACTCCTCCAGCTCCTGAATAGCCATGATCCTAGAGGCACACAAACCAATCTCGGAACCCAGTGGCTTTTGGCAGAAATCCCTCCCGAATTAGTTACTAAAATATCAAAAATCCAAAATTGCGTGGCTGCGTGAATTCATGTGGCCGTCGTAATCAGCAATAGAAAACAAATTAATGATTCCTTTTCGGCATGTCTGATTGGTGGGGGAAAATTCCAAATAATAATGGTGGGTATTCTGTCAAAAAATTGAATGTAATCAAAATAGAGAGAGAGTAAAGTGGAAATCATCTGCCACACAGGCAGGGTGAGGGTTGTGATGGGAGCTATACTGGGTTTCTTGGTGGTGGAAAATGTGCACTGGTGAAGGGATGGGTGTTTGATCATTTTATGACTGGGACTTAAACCTGAAAATTTTATAATTGTTATCATGGTGATTCAATAAAAAAAAGAAAAAAGAAGAAAAGAAAATGAAAAAATTGAGATAGAAAGCAAGAAGATAAATCATTTTTCATGACTCACCTTTAGTTTCAACATCATTTATTAAGAAAGCTAAAATAATATTTCTACTGAATTTTTGAATAGATCACGTCATGCTGAAATGAAAGCATGCACTTGACAGATTTAACATGAGAAGAACTTTATATTGGTTGCATAGTATTACAGGCTTTTTAAAATACAGAAGTCAATTATTTCTACAATAAATTACTTAAAATTATTGGATGGTGAATTTACACCTAAGTTTCACATGACCATGATTAAATCCTTTTTTTTTTTTTGTTTTGGTTGATTTTTTAAAAATTTTCTTAGTGAAACACCAGGTACAGTTGTAGATTTACACATTTTTGTGCTTAGATTTCAGTTATAAAATGATCAAGTATCAATCCCTCCACCAGTACCCATTCTCCACCACTACTGATCCCAGTACCCCTCCATCCCCTATTCGCCCATCCCAACCTGTTTCTGTGGCAGGGCATTACCTTTTATTTTCTCTCTAATACTGGGTGCTGTGGTTTGCAAAAGAGGCATTGAGTGGCAATCATGTTCGGTCTATAGTCTACTTTCAGCAATGCATCTCCACCCTGGTTGGATCCTCCCAACACCCTTTATTTGGTGCTCCCTTCTCTATCTGAGCTTCCTTTTCCCCTAGCATGTGTGGCTGGCCTCCAAGCTATGGACCAAAACTCCTGGTACCTATTTTGGCTATTCTTAGGTGTTAGTCTCCTATTTTGTTACTTTATGTTCCGCAGATGAATGCAATCTTTCCCTGTCTGTCCCTCTCTTTCTGACTTATTTCACTTAGCATGATACTTTCCATGTAGTACCACTTGTATGTACATTTTATGACTTCATCTTTTCTAACAACTACATAGTACTCCATTGTGTAGATATACCAAAGTTTCTTTAACAGGTCACCTGTTCTCGGGCACTCAGGTTTTTTGTCCAGATTCTGGCTATTGTAAACAGTGCTGCAATGAACATAGAAGCGCAGATGTCATTTCAACTACACTTTTTTGCCTCTCTGGAATATATTCCAAGTAGTGGTATTGCTTGGTAAAATGGGAGCTCAATTTCTAATTTTTTGAGAATCATCTATACTGTTTTCCAAAAGGGCTGAACTAGTCAGCATCCCCACCAGCAGTGAAAGAGGGTCCCTTTCTCACCACATCCGTGCCAACACAGGTTGCTTTTGTTCTTTTGGATGTGAGCAAGTATCTGTGGTATGAGATGACATCTCATTGTTGTTTTGATCTGCATCTCCCTGATAATTAATGATGTAGAGTATTTTCTCACGTGCCATTTAGCCATTCGGATTTCTTCTTTAAGAAAGTTTCTGTTCATTTTGCCTCTCCATTTTTTGATGGGGTTAGATGTTTTCTTCTGATGAAGTTCAACCAGTACTTTGTATATATCCTTGATATCAACCCCTTGTAGGATGGATATTGGACAAATATACTTTTTCATTCTGTAGACTGACTTTGTATTTTGGTCACTGTTTCTTTTGAGGTGCAGAAGCTTCTTAGTTTAAGATAGTCCCATTTGTCTATCTCTGTTTTCACTTGCTTGTCCAGTGGCGTGACATCTTTGAAGATACCATCAGCTTCAATGTCAGGGAGGGTTTTGCCAACTTTGTCTTTAATGTACCTTATGGATTCTGGTCTGATGTTGAAGTGTTTAATCCATTTTTATCTTACTTTTATACATGGTCTTCGGCAGAGATCTGTGCCCATTTTTTTGCATGTAGCCATCATGTTTTCCCATCACAATTTGTTAAAGAGGCTTTTCTTGCTCCACTTCACATTTCTTGCTCCCTTACCAAAGATTAGATGATCATATGTTTGGGGGAGATATCAGTATATTCAGTCCTGTTCCACCGGTCTGCAGCTCTGCCTTTGTTCCAGTACCATGCTGTTTTAATTATTACTGCTTTGTAGTAGAGTATGAACTTAGGCTGGTTGATTCCTCCCATTTTCTTTTTTCCAAAATGATTTAGCTATTCGTGGCGGCTTACTATTACATATGAATTTCAGGAGTGTTTGCTCCATTTCTTTGAAGAATGTCATGGATACCGTTATTAGGTATCCTTCTCCTGGTTCGGGCTCCTTTTGTTGATCCTTTTCTAAGATCTTGAGTTTTGAAGTCAAGTTGTTTATGTAGGCCCTTTTCTCCCTTCCTCAGAAATGCTTGCAGAGCTATAAATTTTCCCCTTTACATAGCTTTCGCTCCATACCATTGGTTCTGGTAGCTCGCGCCTTCATTTTTATTTGCTTCCAGGTATCCTTTGATTCCATCCTTGACTTGCTTTCTGACCCACTCGTTCAACATTGAGGTGTTTAGTTTCCAGATGTTTGATTTGGTTCTCAGTGTCGTGTATGATTCATTTCTGTTCCCAGTGCATCATGGTCTGAAAAGATTGTTGATACTATTTCTATCTTCCTGATTCTATTCAAGTATGTTTTGTGTCCTAGCATATGGTCTATTTTTGAAAATGTTCCATGTGCACTGGAGAAGAATGTGTATTCTTTCTTTTTGAGGTGTAAAGCTCTGTATAGAACTATAAGCCCTCTCTTCTATTTCTTCTTTCAAAGCCAATGTTGCCTTGCTGAGTTTTGGTCTTGTTGATAAATCCAGAGGTGATAAGGCAATGTTGAAGTCTCCAGCTACTATTGTGTGACTAACAATATCCTCCTTAAAATCTGCTAGCTGTTGTTTATATATTTAGCTGTTCCATCATTAGGTGTGTATACATTTAAGAGTTTGATTTCTTCCATGCACATATCCCTTGATTAATAGTAAATAGCCTTCGCTTTCCCTTCTAATCTTTTTCAATCTGAAATTTCACTGTCACTGTCACTGTCCTCCCATTGTTCATCAGTTTTCTCGAGTGGGCACGGTAACGTCTCCATTTTGAGACTTTTTGTTACTGTGTTTGGCATATCAAATACGCTTGCCAGGCTTTGCCATGTGGCCGAGATACTCTTTGTAGCTTCCCAGCTCTCCAAGAAGGGCAGAGGATTTGAACACGGGTCGGCTGCATGGGCTGCATGCGAGGCATGCACCCTACCAGCTGTGCTATCGCTCCAGCCTCACCTGAAATTCATGTTGTCAGATACTAATATGGCCACCCCATCTTTTTTTTGAGGGAACTGATTATATTCTTTGGGAACTGTTTGCAGGATTGTTTTCCATCCTTTAACTTTGAGTCTGTGTTTGCTCTGACTGTTCAAATGAGTTTCTTGTAGGCAGCAGAATGTTGGGTTCTGTCTCTGAATTCATTTTGCCACTCTGTGTCTCTTAATTGGTAAATTTAGACCGTTAATGTTGAGAGAGATTATTGTTATGAGGTTTTGTGTCATCTTTCTGTAAGAGTCTGTTGTGCTTGTAGGGTTTGTCTTGTTTTATTTTAGCCCCTTTACCCTTTCTTTTAAGTTTGGTTTTGAGTCTATGAAGTTCCTGAGCTGCTGTTTATCCACAAAATAGTGTACTTCGAGTTTGAGTGAGAGTTTAGCCAGATTGAGTATTCTTGGTGAAGCGTTCATTTCAGTGAGTTTTTTCACTATATCTCACTATTGCCTTGGAGGGTTTCCTCTGATAGGTCTACTTTGAATCTAAGGGGTGCTCCTTTTATGTGACTTAAAAATATGGAATGTTTCAGGAATTTGTGTGCCATCCTTGTGCGGGGGGCATGATAATCTTCTCTCTATCATTCCAATTTTAGTGTATGTGCTGCCGAAGCGAGCACTAAATCCTTTTTATTTTAAAAAATGATTCTATATCCAGACATTTTCTACCAGGGATAGACAATTATAGGGTATCTAGATACAAAATATATAGAGAAGAGAATTGAATAATACATAAAAAATGAAGTCAATTTCATTATATTTCCATCTTTTACTCACTAAAAAATTATGAAAAATAAGTTGTAGAAAATGGATAAATGAATTCTACAACCCTTACAAGTCACTTTCAGCACAACTACAGAAGTTGTGAATATTACTAAGAAGGACATACTCACTGTAAAGTAACAGTAAACTAAAATCATACATGTGATATTCTCTAATATGATTATATTCTGTGGGAACTGTTTGCCAGTGTCTATTTATAAATCTTGTATTTGTGATCTATTTCATTATGTCTGGTATGAGTTAAATTCACTAATTGTGTGAGTACTACTATTAATATTTATTTTAATGAGGATTACACTTTTCTTATATATATTTGCATTCATGAAGTCATAAAATATTATTAAGTATTGAATAATGTGCCAAACTCTTGGAGGCACTGGAAACATAGAAATGAATATAAGCAGTGAAAATCTCTTTGGTGGAAATGCATGGTAGGGAAAATAATGAATACAAAATATATGTTAAAAGTAATTGCACAGTATAAAATAAAACTAAAATATGAAATATTAGTTAATCTTCTTCATGCATCAATCATATCATGAATTTCATCAGAATGTTTTATCTTGATTTGGTGTAGTTTTTGATTTGCAGGTCATGCCTTTCTTTTCTTTTTTTTTTTTTTTTTGCTTTTTGGACCACATTCAGTGATACACAGGGGTTACTTCTGGCTTTGAACTAAAGGTATCACTTCTGGCAGTGCTCGAGGGACATTATGGGATGCTGAGAATTGAACCCAGGTTGACTGCATGCAAGGCAAACTTTTACCCACAATATTATTGCGCCAGGCCCAATTTTTGTGGGTGACTCTTGTCTGAGCTCAGAGATTACTCCTGGCTCTGTTCTCAGGAATCACTCATATGTTGCTCAGAGGACCATATGCAGTGCCAGGGCTCAAATTCGTTTGACCATATGCAAGGAAAGAGACTTTCTCATTGCACTGTATTTCTGGCTCACACCATAATGTTTAAATAGTGCATTAAGCTCTTGTTTCTTTATGCTTGTTTTCTAAAATTAAGCTTACAATTGCATTGACTTCTAACCCATTTAAAATATGATTTATAAATACAGCAAAATAAAATCAAAAACACAGAGAAAAATAAATAACTCAAAGAAGAGCATTCCCCTTTTCTGGAGTCCAGTGGGAAGTGATCTTGTATACTAAAAGGGAGACAGTTGTCAAGAACTATGTCAGCAATTTTGTCTTTTGAAATATTTATAATTCTCAAAGTAAAAGATACTCTCTTGTATCCTTAGTTCCTTAGTCTGATGGAAGAAATAATTAAATATTCCCTTAATTCCCCAAGTGTAAGATTTTAGTTGTGGGCCTTTCTTCTCACAGTCTTTTCCTTTACATCTAACTTTGATCAATTAACCCCTAAAAAGATTATTAAAATTCTGTCTCAGGTAAAGGGAAAATGCTGGAGCGATATAGCACAGAAGTAGAGCATTTGCTTAGTGTGCAGCTGGCCTGGCAGAGCCGGGTTCGATTCCTCCACCCCTCACTGAGAGCCAGGTAAGCTACTGTGAGTATCTCGCCTGCATGGCAAATCCTGGCAAGCTACCTGTGACATATTTGATATGCTAAACAAAGTAACAACCAGTCTCACAATGGAAACATTAGCCCGCTGGAGCAAATCGATGAACAATGGGAGGACAGTGCTACAGTGCTACAGTAAAGGGAATGGTATCACTTATTCCAAGTATAATTTTTTTTAGTTGCTACAGATTATTGTGCACCTTACTTTATTTAGGTTCATTGCTGCTTTCATGATTATGAGAGAACACTCTCACTATCACTATCACCCCATTCATTGATTTGCTTGAGGGGCGCCAGTAATGTCTTCATTCGTCCTTGCCACTTTCTAGTGTAGCCCGGTGACATATTGGGGGCTCTTTCAGGGTCAGGGGCATGAGGACCATCATTGTTATTGTTTTTGGAATATCAAGTATGCCACGGGTAGCTTGCAAGGCTCTGCTGTGCGGGTGTGATACTCTCTGTTGCTTGCCGGGCTCTCCAAGAGGGATGGAGGCTTTGGGGGCTGCCTCTAATCACCTTTACAGGTTTTCCCAGTCAGGCATATATTAGGGCAAGATACTGGTTCTCTAAGAGTGAGACCTAGAGAATAAGAGGTCGCACGGCTGCTTCCAGGAGCTTGGTTTTATAGTCTCTGGATCTTGGCCGTTGATGGGGTTACACGAAAATTAGTGGGTGTAACTGTCTAGTTACTGGAAGATGTGGGATCTGGGTGGAAGAGGCCCAGTCCCGAACCGAGCAGGTTTGGAGATCTCAGTCCCAGGTTCCACATACCTGGGTCCTCTGCTGACTCTTCATGTGTGAGACTAATCCCAGCATGTGGAGAGTGGTCTCAGCATGGCTGTGGCTGGGTTCCAGAGATCTTCAGCTGCCGGGGCTCTGCTCAGGGCAGAGAGGGAAACTCAACCCACCCTCCTCCATGGGAGGAGATAACATTGAGAGAACAATGAGTGCTAAATAAATTTAACATTTTTCAAGAATTCAATACCCTTTTTCAAGAATTCAAGTATAAGGAGACTTACAAACTTAACTTTTAAAGATATATTCATAACAAATGATTAAATTTTATTATTTAAATAATTGATATATATATATATATATATATATATATATATTTCAGAGAGCCCAGGAAACTACTGCGAGTATCCTGCCCGCATGGCAGAGCCTGGCAAGCTAGCCATGGTGTATTTGATATGCCAAAAACAGTAATAATAACAGGTCTCATTCTCCTGACCCTGAAAAACCCTCCAATATGTTTGGAAAGACAAATTAGGAGAGGCTGCTAAAATCTCAGGGCCGGGACAAATGAAGACGTTACTGGCACCTGCTTGAGTAAATCCAAGAACAATGGGATGGCAGTGATACATTGATTGAAATCATTATAATAAAATCATCATAATTCATTTTGTATATTTTTATCTGCTTTTGTAACAATTACACTTATACAAAATGGTATTTAATCATATCGTCTTGAATCTGTATGAACAGTCTTTTTAGAAGTTTTACATGGATACTAATATTGAGGAAATTATGATTTCACACTTTCAGAATCTTTTCTTTTAAATACTTTATACATGTGTTATGTATAAATTATATATTTGCTTTTGTAAATGTATATTTTATACATACAGATTTTAAGAGGTTATTTTTTCAAATTTTACAATCTAAACTATTTATGTTATCATGTACAGTCAAGTTTGAACAAAAAAAGACAAACAGCATAAAGCTGCGTACCAATGTTTGCTCTATTCTTTCCCCCTTTCTGGATCATTTAATTTCAATATAAGAAAAGTAAATTAGAGTAGTTATATTTATTCACTCATATCTTCATTCAGACTTGTCTATGAACCCCACACATCGGTTATTTTCTAGAATATCATCAAGTACAGAAACAAAATATTGTTTATCCATGGATTTTACATAATTAAAAGGTAAATAGACATAATATGCAAGGTAATAAGATCACGGAAATGATTAACATTTATTCATAGGCATGGGTAAAAGGGAACAATTTCTAACCAAGAAATAGCTTGACACTCACCAATATCTGTGTGATCAATATCTCAAATTTGATTATATTATTTAAACTGTCACTGTCACTGACCTCCCATTGTTCATCAATTTGTTCGAGCAGGGCCAGTAATGTCTCCATCGTGATACTTGTTACTGTGTTTGGCATATCAAATACGTCATGGATACCTTGTCAGGCTTTGCTGTGCAGGCGAGATACTCTTGGTAGCTTGCTGGGCTCTCCAAGAGGGGCGAAGGAATTGAACCTGGGTTGGTTGGGTTGGCCACATGCAAGGCAAATGCCCTACCACTGTGCTATCGCTCCAGCCCATTATTCAAACATTTTGAGTTCTTTTCATAGCCTTATATTTAACAAAAGCAAAATACATTTCAAACCAGTTGCAAATAACTAGTTATATGCATAACTTAATATTAAAGTAAAATAAAAACCAGTCACATAAGTGAAGATGCATGTTCAGAAGAACCAAGTTAACATAAAGAGCGAAGTTGCACAGGAATACATTAACTCAAAAAAATATTATAGAAACTTTTTATCAAGAGGTATACATATTCATTCCTAAAATATTAACAAAATATTTTAAAATTTAATTTTGTGAGCAAAGAAGAAAATCAGCTGGAGGGCCCCACAGCTCCCAGAGAATGCTCCGGGCCTCAAACAGAGCCAATATCACCAGGAGGCGCCAGATGGGGAAGGTGCTGTCTCCTCGTCTTCTCCAGATGGAATCCTGGTGACCATAAGCTTCTACAAGCATGACTCTGGCGTATGGGTGCCAGGACTATTTTCTGACATTTCCTGATATGCAAAGTGATCAATGGAAAGTAAATCATCCAGCATTTCTCCTTGAAAATCAGGTTTGAATGGTGGTGGGAAAATCTGAGCAAAAGATAATGCCCAACTGAAATGCATCTAGACTGTGTATTTAACTATGGTGTTATGCCGCCCTGGGAGGGGAAGGGTATTTTTCCCTCTGCTTTTTCCCCTCTGCGGCGGTGACATGGTGGCCTGCATTTTTTAGAGCCTAATGAACAGCCAGGTATGTGACTGCATTGATGAGGCACACATGGGATGGGGGGTGGAATCGGCCCTGCTCCCTGCCATGACAATGCTCCAGGTTGCCACCCTTAAATGCCTCCTCCGGCTTCTGACCGACCATGAATCCAGAGGCACACATACTAATCTCAGAACCCAGGGGCTTCTGGCAGTAATCCCTCTAGGCTTATTACTAAAATATTAGAAATCCAAATTCGTGTGGCTGCTATTGTGGCCACACA